CGTTCGCGGACCCAAAGCGGCCCCCATGACCCTCCAGACGGCTGCTCGATGCGCCGAGGCCGGCCTCAGACAGCCCCCACGACCCGCCCGAGTGTTCAAAGATGTCCCCACGAGGCCCAGAGAGGCCCCCCCTGCAAAAGAGGCGCGCGGGGGCCCTTCCAGCAATGCCCTCGGAGGCCCAAACACGGAAGATCCTGACACTGTCCACCGTTATGCTCCGCAAGCTTGTTGGGGGGCCGCGGCGGACGCTGTGTGAGGCGCGCTGTCGGATGCGCACTGTGCCGATATAATACAGGGCAACGGCTCAACGTCAGCGACGCCAGAAAACGATGACCTGCGGCCTCAAACTTGCTATCTGTGAGCCATTGTACTCTCGCAACTGCATGGAGAACGCGTTCGCGCTCGCAAATCACAATGCTGGCCTCCCTGCGCAGAACGGTTACAGGTGACGACGGCAACTGCCTCGAAGAAAGGCAAATCGATCTTTTCGGCCGTTACCACCGGACGTCGAAGTCGGGCCTGGAGTTCGCGATCCCGTTCGTCGAGTCGGGGGCGTACATGCGTTCGCTGAAGGAAACAGCCATCCCTATCCACCCTCAGACGGCGATTGCGAATGACAGCATATGGAATGTATGGAATAGCGAGCCCCGAGAATGCCCTCATGGTCCTTGCCCAGTCCGCGGTGCGATAGTTGAATAGTGGGATCGACAAGTTTATTGCATACAGTTGCAACACATACAAACATGTAGGGAGGCACATCGGTATAGACATTGACATGAACACATGGGTATGCCATGCGAAACACATGTACAGGTGGACGGGTCGAAAGACGGACGGATGCATATATGTATACATAGAAATGTATAAACAAATGTATCGACCAACGGACATCGGAATTTCTATATGTACAAGTGGAGGACATCCAACCTGGTGTCCCACACGTGTGTGCACTCGTAGGTTGAATTGTGCATCCAATGCAGATCAAAGATGTCCCAAACCTCGTTATCACCCAGTGTTCTATCAAGTATTTGTTGATTTATAGTTACATAAATATGTGTGTGTGTCTGTGTGAGGGTGGGTGCCCCAAGGAATCGTCGCTGTTCGCTGACCACCAGATGTCTGAGGCACGCACAGAGTGGTGGACGGGCAAAAGGACAGTCGCAACATCCAGAACTAGGGCGACCACTAGCAACGCACCAGGAGGGCGTCGACCGTCAATTCGACACCGAATACATGAAGACGATCTGCAACTGCTCAAAGCGGTCGCTGTCGCAGCGGAAACGGTGCTGTCCAGTGTTAGGGATACATATGGGAAGGTGCGGGGCAAAGATGGCAGGGCGTCGGACTGGAGATGTGCACTGCGGTCGGCCTCCACGACGGCGGAGCTGCTTGAGCTCAGGGACGAGGCTGCACCAATGTCATTAGCAGTCTGCCGACAGAGCCATAGAGGTGGATGGCATGACAGAAGCAGCCGACTGACTGGAGCAAATTACGCCGCTTTGTCCACTTGAGAGCCAGCTAATTGGTTGCGGACCCCCTGTCCCGTACTGCAGAACTCTCTGGGCGTCACTGCACATTGGAGCGCGAGGTTGACGCGTAGCCTGCGATTCAAATCGAGTACGTATGTCTCATTGAACGGTGTGGGTGTGATGCTGTCGTTGTTAATTCGTTCGGGTTGTGTTTCAAGCCCATCGAATGCACCCTTTGGCATACCATTCGAGCTTGTATCGGCTGTGGTCGTGGAACTTGCGGTTGTGCATCAGCTCCCTATGGGGGAGGCATCTGGTGTGGTACATGGCAATGCCTATGTCAAAAGCAGTGAACTGTCTTTACAATGTTCGCGAAGCGGCGGCAGGACATATTCAAGTGGCGCGTGCGTCATCAGGATCATACAAGTCCAGCCTGGGGTGTAAACGATTACGTTGGGGACACGTTCGGAAGATGAGATATTCGAGATGGGATCTGCGAGAGTATTTCATCACTAACGTGTTTGCCTGCACGTCAAGCAAATGCGTTGGGCAAGCCTGCCTGAACACCAGAGTGTTGGCAAATTCGTTGAGCAACTGCATTGAGCAAGCATTCCTAGATTCGTAGACCATTGGGAGCACACGTTGGTTTGGAATACGTAGGTGTGCACTCGTTGAAAACAGCTGCTGCAACACAATTCCAGCAAACATGCTCAAACATACTCTTGATACCATTCAAAAGCAACACTATGTCCTTCTACTGGCGTCCAGCATTGGTGTCGACCGCTATGTGTTTGAATATCTGGAGCAACCATGTTGAACACCATTCGTTTCTTGGACCGATCAGTCTCGATCTGGGAGTGGGGGTTCTTCGGCTGTCGTAAGGTTAAGGAACTCTGACGCGAAACGGCACCAACAGTTATATTCGACGCGTCACTAATCATCGGCTCTAAGCCCTACTGCCTCGGAAGAGGTGCGTTTTTTTTCCACAATATATATATATATATATATATGAATCCATGTGTGTACGCAGCGTGTACACGTGCATTCCTCTCTCTCTCTCTCTCCTCCCTCTCGGCGTGTATATATATATATATATATATATGTATCTATCTATCTATATATATATATATATATTACTTACAGAATGTTACAAACGTGCGCGGATGATACCAAGTGCAACTTCTGAACTTCGATGCCCGTGCCGCAACGGAGGGCTGCGCCTAGGCAACACGGACCGCGCCTGGAACGCGGACTTTCAGGCTCTGACGCGCCCTTGCGTCGCGGAGGTCGCACTCATAAGCGGAGACCGTAAGGCCCCCCCTGCGACCAGCAAAGGCCCACCTGACACGAGTCCAGGTCGGGAAAGGATACCGTCGGGGCGTTGACCTAAGGAACGAGAAATAAGGAACGAGGCCCCCCTTACCCACAGATTACACTTCGATTTCCAGTGGAAAACCTCCGGAAAACCGAAGGCAAACTGCATGACAGTCAAGGAACTCCGAGCCCTTCCCCAGCGAAAAGGGTTCCTTCTGCAGCGCCCCGACTGTAAGCGCGTGGACAGGCAGCAGAACAGGAGACATGGCACGCCCGAGCCTCAGACGTCGTGAAGTTTTCGAAATGGGGCCCTTAGCTCTCGAACCCTTCCTTCCAGGGGACGGGTTTTCCATGCCCCACCGTTTTCGACACTGCCCTGGCGCCTGAACGGGGCACCCGGAGGCCGAACATCTGGAAGTGCACCCGGCTTCTTCCCCAAGACGGTGGAGGTCGGGGGCTCGGGGGCGCGCAAACATGGATTCGCGACGCATGGACTTGGCGCGCGGTCGCCAAATCCAGGGATCGGGAGAGGCGCCCTCCCCAAAATGCGGCCGGTGCCGCCTCGCTCGGCGGCGGAAATCCGCGACTTCCCATGGAAACGGGACCCGTCGCTGATCCACGCCCCCTGGTTCCATGTTTGCGATCGCCTGATTATTCCCCAAGACGGGTGGAGGTCGGGGACGGCGATCGGCGCCGCTGAGCCAGTGTCCCCGAGGCCTCCACGGAGGTCCCTGGAGGCCTCTGGAGGTCTGCGGAGGCTCCGTCCTCGTCCTCCTCCTCCTCCTCCACCTTCCCCTCCTCCAATCCTCCTCATCCTCCCCCTCCCCCTCCTCCAATCTCCTCATCCTCCCCTCCCCCTCCTCCTCCTCCTCCTCCTCCTCCTCCTCCTCCTCCTCCTCTCCTCCTCCTCCTCCTCCTCCTCCTCCTCCTCCTCCTCCTCTCCCCCTCCCCCTCTCCTGCTCCTCCTCCTCCTCCTCCTCCTCCTCCTCCTCCTCCTCCCTCCTGTTCCTCCTCCGTCCCGAGCCCTGGATCCTCGAGCCTCGAGGCGATCGGCGCCGCTGGCCCCCCTCCCACGTCGGCCAGCGTCTCGAAGCGGAAGCCGCCGGCGGCCAGCGCCTCCGCCACGCTCTGCAGCGCCGGCTCGGGAGGCGCGGCCGCCAGCTGCGACCTGCGGAACTCGGCGTGGGTGTAGCCTCGGGCGCGGGGGCGCGGAAGCAGGACAGGGAGGAGGAGGAGGAGGAGGAGGAGGAGGAGGAGGAGGAGGAGGAGGACTAGGAGGAGGAGGAGGAGGAGAAGGAGAAGGAGGAGGAGGAGAGAGGAGGAGGGAGGAGGAGGAGGAGGAGGAGGAGGAGGAGGAGGAGGAGGAGGAAGAGGAAGAGGGAGGGGGGGTGGGGGGGAGGAGGAGGAGGAGGAGGAGGAGGAGAAGGAGAAGGAGGAGGAGGAGGAGGAGGAGGAGGAGGAGGAGGAGGAGGAGGAGGAGGAGGAGGAGGAGGAGGAGGAGGAGGAGGAGGAGGAGGAGGCAGAGAGGAGGAGGAGGAGGAGGAGGAGGAGGAGGAGGAGGAGGAGGAGGAGGAGGAGGAGGCAGAGGAGGAGGAGGAGGAGGAGGAGGAGGAGGAGGAGGAGGAGGAGGAGGAGGAGGAGGAAGAGGAGGAGGAGGAGGAGGAGGAAGGAGGAGGAGGAGGAGGAGGAGGGGCGATCCCCCCCTGCCTCGTGCCGCCCCTCGCCGCCCCCGCGTGCACTGCAGGGTGCGCGCCAGCGCTCGGCAGGTTCTCTGGCGGAGGCGCGCGCGAGAGACGTCCCCCGTGGGGCGCGCGGGGGGCTGCGACCCGCGGGGCGCGCCATGCCCCGCTCCTCCTGGCGCCCAAGCCCTCCTCTCGACCCCAGACCTGTGGCGGCTGGAGAAGATCGCGGCGGTGTTCGCTTGCCGTGTTCTTGGGCCTGCTCAAAAGCGAGAGGAGGGGAGATGCACTGGGGGGCCTTCAGGTGTCCAGGGTGGCTGCATCGGGGCCCCTTTCCTACGGCACTGGCCGCCTTCTTGCAATCCTTTCCCTGCCCCAGGCGTCCCCATGGGGGCCCCGCGGAGGCCCACGGGGCCCTGTTGGGTTGTCAGGCGCGCGGGCACGCACGACTACCTCGGCCAGCTGCTGAGCGGCGGTCTGAGGACGCGCAGGAAGTGCAACCTGGAACATGGGCTGACGCGTGCTTCAACATCGCATACTTCCGATCAAATTGCGGGAGGACCCTGTTGGGTTGTCAAGCACGCGGGCACGCACAAATACCTCGGCGAGCTGCTGAGCGGCGGTCTGAGGACGCGCAGTAAGTGCAACCTGGAACATGGGTTGACGCGTGCCTCAACATCGCATACTTCCGCTCAAATTGCGGCTGCGTCTCTTGGACTCCGACGCGACGCCGTCTGTTCTCCAGAGTCTGACCACGATACCTCTCAGGCGAAGGGACTTCGACAGGATGGACGAGCTGTACAGGAACCTGTTGAGGCGTACTGTTGGGTGGGTTTGGTTGGACTCACGACGAGGCACGACACTCGCCATCGAGTGGAACTCAAGCTGGAAGCAGCGTTGGCGTTGCATCCCGTCACGGACTGGAACACACGGTCCTCACTCAAACCCTCACTCCCGTCCCTCACTCCCTGGAGCACACAGGTTCTCCGGTCCGTTCCACAGTCCCGCCCCTTCCACGGCCTTCCTTCTGCTCCTCCTCATCCCCAAGATTTGATTCAACGGGTTTCTGCACGTCCTGCTGTGTCTCACAATGCTGTTCTCCATCGTGTATGCTTGTCGACGTCTGGGCGCGCCATCGTGGGCGACCGATTCTCAAAGGCGGACCGCACGCACCAGCCCTTGTCTGTACGAGGCGTTCCTCGTGAAGTTTTTCCCGAGGACCAGATCTGAAAGTTTCCATGTCCGTTCCTGCTCCCCGCCCGCCCGCCATCGCTCCGTACCTTCCACTCCTCCCCGTTCCTGCTTCCGCTCCTGCCTGCCAGAGCAGCAATCAACGCACGAAGATACTAATACTATGATTGCCCCGGGTCTGGTGATTGCCCCGGGTCTGGAGGCACGGGCCAACTCTGTACTCCCGAAGTGTGGATTGGCGCGGCCTCCGGGCCGATCGCGAGTAGCGTAGACTAGCGATCCTGCAACAATCGGGACCCCGCCTGTCTATCGCCCCTCCATGACAAGAGACGCCTGGCATTTCCACAACACCAGTGGGCGAGTGGTCGAGGAGTACGGGGGCACCGACCCAACAGGCTCGGGCCAGTGAAGGTGTGGGTCCTTGTCCTTGTTTTCTTCCTCCTCCTCCTCCTGCTCCCAATTCTCCCCCTCCTCCTCTTCCTCCTCCTTCTCCTCCCCTTCCTCACTTTTTCTGCCCTGTCCGTCCAATTCTCCACCATCTCTTCGCCTCAATCCTCCGTCCTCCGTTCGTTGCCTCGCCCGTTGGCCCCGTTGCACCTACGCTCCGTGGCGCCAGAGGCGTTCTGCACCGCTGAACTTCCCCGGTTGTGGCCAGCTCAATTGTATCCTACTCTACCTGTCGGGCGTGCAGCGGCACTGCTTCGATCTGTTGTTCCAATACCGCTCGTACACCGCAGCCGCGCACACCAGACACCAGACACCAGAAACCGACATTGAAACACCTCTGATCTTCTTAATTAAGAATCTGCAAGAGCGCGCGCACATGTTCTTTGACAACCCTTCTTGCGACAAAAACGTGTTTGTGTTGTACGTCGTCGTGGCACTCGATCTTGAAAAGGCTTACGACACCCACGGTATTTGAAGGATTTCGGCATGCGCGCGACGTTGCGCGCCTGCGCACTTCGTCCCAGTCGTTGCAAGGGATTCTTGGAAACTGATGACTTTTGAAAACCGAGCGTGCGCGCATAGTACTTTTGGTAGGAAGTGAGAGGGGGGGATGCCGGCTTAGCTGGGATGATAGAAACTTCTGTTTAGGATGGGCCCAAGACGGCCGACGAGGCCCCCAAGAGGGCCCCAAGATCGTCTCAAGACGGCCGACGAGGCCCCCAAGAGGGCCCCAAGACGGCCGAAGAGGGCCCAAACACACGGACCAGGGGCCCCCCCAAACGGCCCGAGAAAACGCCTAAGAGGGCCCCACGAAAGACCAAAGAGGGGGAATGCAAACTGATGTTTCGAGCCTTTCCCCCGAAGATGGCTCCAAGAGACCCCCAAGAGGCCCCCGAGGCTCCCCCACGAGGCTTCCGAGACGACTCCAAGAAGCCCCCAAGAGGCCCACCTAAACGCCCTCATACATGCACCCGTGAGCCCTCCAAGGGGCACCTCAGAGGCATCCCAAGAGACCATACTCATCCAAAGAGCTCCTGACCCACAGCCCATGCACGGTGGCGGATTGTGACGAACGCCACTAGATAACTTTCATGATCACCGCAAGCTCTGACTCCTTCTGGGGGTCGGCTGAGTGGCGCAAGCCATTCGAATATGCATTTACAAATATTTTACAGCTTGGCTGCAGACACAGACAGACAGACAGACAGACAGACAGACAGACAGACAGACAGACAGACAGGCAGGCAGGCAGGCAGGCAGACAGACAGACAGACAGACAGACCGACAGACAGACAGACAGACAGACATACATATACCCACACACATACATACATACGTACGTACGTACATACATACATACATGCATGCATGCATGCATATGGCGCTGGTTAACACACACGCACACACACACACACACTTCGTGCATGACGCTCTCCCCTGAAGGGGGACGCTACCCGCTCCGTGGAGAAGTGCTGCACACGCACTCTGGCGACGGGATCAGCCGAACCCCGCCGCGGGGTAGGCGACCCAGGCCCGCGCGCCTTCTCGGAAAGGGGGGGGCGCGGGTGAGAAGGGGCGCGCAGGCCTGGCCGTCGCCCACCCTTCTCTTGCGCAGGGACGGACTGGCCGTCCTGGCAATCCTGTGGGCCTACAACGAAGTGTCTTAGAACCCCCAAGATGTTCTAAAAACAAAAGCAAGATTCTTATTACGTAAGCGCGATGTGTGAAAACAAGACAAGCTCGGCCAGACATGTTCTAATAATATGTCGCGCAGACCACAGAATGTTCGTAGAACATTCTTCGGTGGACCTGTAGGAGAGCCGGGACGCTTCGCCACTGCTCGATTCTCAAGGACACTCGCCAGAGCAACCCCGAACGACACGAGCTGAACCCAGCAAAACCAGCATATGTTGCAAAGACTGATGCCCGCGGGGGCGCAATCTACCGCGCCACGGGTGCGCATTTCCGACAAATAAGCGACAAGAGAACACACAAACAAACATGAACTTTCGGAGGTCCGCATGGACTTCTCGGATCGGCGTTGGGCTCCCCTCGTAGAGGCCTCCTAGATGGGGTCCGAGTAGATGGGGTCGGAGGATCGCGCCGCATCGGCGATTCATCGCCGATGTATCGGCGATGCATCGGCAGTGTCGGCGAAGCTTGGGCGACGCCAGCGCGGAAAAGATCGGGCTCCACATCCGCCCGCATCAGCGATGCATCGGCGATGCGGCGCGATCCTCCGACCTTTTCTACTCTAGACGCGATGCGGGCGTGTCCTCCTACAGGCGGACTCTGGGCGAAAATCAAAAAGAGCTAAAATTCACCATCGCTCGGACGTCCATTCCCTGTGTTTTTTTGTTGGTTTCGTGCGTGTTTTTTTCGGCACATGGTCAAGGATGCTCCTCGATGGTCCTCGCCGAGGAAAAACGCACACGTCCGAGCGATGCCAGGAAAACAGATGCAGTAATAGCCAAAAACAACATACAAAATCGTCACCAGACTACCTTTGGACTATTTTCCCCCCCCTGTGGAGGCACATGGAGCGCGCCACGGGCGAAAAGGGCACTCCCGGCCAGGCGCCTGCGGTCACCACGGCGCCCCGTGGCCGGGCTGCGCTCCCGCGCGGAACCCCGCGGACCCCCAGCAGGCACCCGCCGTGGGCTCTGGGGCGGGCCGCGCCCGACAGCTGTCGTCCGGCGGGGAGCCTCGGCGAAGGGCCTCGCCCCATGCGACGGCCTGGTGACCCCGGTCAGGGTGCGCTTCCGCGCGGAGCCCCGCGGATCCTGAGCAGGCACCCGCGGTTGGCTCTGGGCCCGGGGTGAGCCACGCCGGATGTAGAAGAAGAAAAAACGGGACAAACATAATCCTTTTTCGCACTCGCGCGGATTTCTCGGATCCGCACTGGGCGCGGAGCGCGCCAAGGGCGGCGCCGGAGGCGCCGCCGGGGGGCCCAGCGCAGATCCAAGAACTCCGCGCGGAGCGCCAAAAGTTCATGTTTATGCCGTGCTTTCTTCTCCGACGATAGCGGTCGTCCTGCGGGGAGCCTCGTCGCAAGGCCTCGCCCTCTCCAACAGCATGGTGGCTGCCGTGCAGCAGGTGGCCCGCAGCCAGGTCCGCGGCCAGGCCGTAGGCACCCGCAGTTGGCTCTGGGGTGAGCCACGCCCGACAGCCGTCGTCCGGCGGGGAGCCTCGTCGAAAGGCCTCGCCATCTCCGACGGCATGGTGGCTGCCGTGTAGCAGGTGGCCCGCAGCCAGGCCGGTGGCCAGGCCGTCTGCGGGCGCATGGGGGGCGGCGGCGCCGAGCGTGGCCGGGGGCGCCAGCTCTTGGGCCCTGCTTTTAAAGTGGTGCAGCAGCGGATCGGAGCAGGGCGCGGAGAGACAACGGCAGCGCAACCTTCGGGCGGGTGGCAAGGGGGGGGGGCCCATTTGGGCGGGATCCACACGCGCCAAGTTCCCGAGCTGCGTCCAGCCGTGGCGCCGAGGGCACCCTCCCGAAGGCCGACTGCCGTTGTCTCCACTCGCCCTCCTCTGCGCTGGAGCAGGAGCTCGGTCTGCGTGTGCTGCTGCCGCAGGCCCTGCGCGTACGCCTCGCGGCGCCCGCGCTCCTGCTCCAGCAGGCCGCACAGCTGCTCCAGGGCGGCGTGCGACTCCCGCAGCATGCCGCGCACGGCGCCCACCCGCTGGCCCAGGTCGCGGGTCGGCTGCAGGGAGCCCTCGATCCGCTGCACGCGGCAGCACTGCTCCGCGAGCTCGCCGTTCACCTCGTCCATGGCGTGCTGGATCGCCGCCAGGTGGTGGCGCACCTCCCTCAGCTCCTCGTCCCTCGACTCGGCCTGCTCCGCTGTGAGGGACAGGGCGGCGGCCACCTCGCCGAGCTCCAGCCTGCGGGAGCCGACCTCCCACTCCAGCCGCCTGTGGCTGCCCTCCATGGCCTCGGCCTCGGAGACGCGCGTGCGCGCCTCCGCCTGCAGCAGCTCGCGCCTGCTCCACTGCGCGTGCCGCTCCGCCTCGAGCGCCTCCCGCGCCGCCCTCGCGGCCGCGGCCTCGCTGTCGCGCTCCTGGGCCAGGTCGCGCGCCCTCTCGCGCACCGCGCCCAAGCGCTCGCGGGCGAGCACGGCGCGGCGCTCCTCCGCGTCCGCCTCCGCCCTCACCAGCTCCTCGGCGCGCGCCGCCAGGTGCGCCTGCAGCTCGCTCTCGCGCTCGGCCTCCAGCAGCCCCGCCTGCCGCCGCAGCGCGCACGAGAGCTCCTCGCCGGCGCTGCGGATCTCCCCGAGCACCCGCTCCCTGGCGCGCGCCTCCTGGGCGTCGAACTCCTCGCCCTCGTGGAGGGCCTGCCTCGGCGACGCGCACAGGCGGGGGGGGTGCGCGAGAGAGGCGGCCTTCTGAGAAGGTGTGTGTCTGTATGATGTGTGGGTGTGTGTGTGTGTGTGTGTGCGTGTGCGTGTGCGTGTGCGTGTGCGTGTGCGTGTGCGTGTGCGTGTGCGTGTGCGTGTGCGTGTGCGTGTGTGTGTGTGTGTGTGTGTGTGTGTGTGTGTGTGTGCGTGTGTGTGTGTGTGTGTGCGTCTGTGTGTGTGCGTGTGTGTGTATGTGCATTGTGCGTGTGTGTGGTGTGTGTGTGTGTGTTGTGTGGGTTGTGTGGGTTGTGTGTGCGTGTGTGCGTGTGTGCGTGTGTGTGTGTGCGCGTGTGTGCGCGTGTGTGTCTGTGTGTGTGTGTGCGTGTGCGCGTGTGTGCTGTGCGTGTGCGCGTGTGTGCTGTGCGTGTGCGCGCGTGTGTGTGTGTGTGCGTGTGTGTGTGCGTGTGTGTGTGTGTGTGTGCGTGTGTGTGTGTGTGCGTGTGTGCGGGTGTGTGCGTGTGTGCGTGTGTGTGTGTGTGTTGGTGTGTGTATGTGTCTGTGTATATGTGTGGGTGGGGGGCTGATTAGATGTGGCAGAGGCCACCCCGGCCTCGGAGAAGGCCGCGGGGCCTCCTACACGATGGCTCCTGCCCTCATACGAGGCCGCCCCGCCTTCTCGGAAGGCGGCCCTGCCCCCCTCCTGTAGAGGCCTCCCAGACGGGGTCCGCGTAGATAGGTCGGAGGATCGCGCCGCATCGGCGCCGCATCGACCATGCATCGGCGGCCTCTTGGCGTGGAGGGCACCGAGCTCCAAATCGAACCGCATCGCCTATGCATCGGCGACGCGGCGCGATCCACCAGCCCCATCTCCTCGGACCCCATCTGGGAGGCCTGGCTGCTGCGTGCCGCGGGCTGCCTGAGGAGGAACGCATCCCTGTCGATCTGGGCGTCCTTCCCCAGCAGCTCGCGCCGGCTCTGGCGCAACTGCGCCCGCACCTCGCCCAGCTCCTGGCGAGCCTGCTCGGCGCGGCTGCGCGACGGCATGCTGGCGCGTGGGCTGCCCCGCTCCCGAGCATAACGACCGCTGCGGAGCTCGCCATGGGAGGCTGCGCCAGAGCCGCTCGCGGCTACGGAGCTCGATTCCCTCCTCATGCGAGGGAGGCGACCGTCGCAAGCATTCCTTCCGGGACCCTCCGTGCCGACCGAGCAGCAAGAGCAGCTGGTGCTGATCGGCTGCGCCCTGCTCGCGTCTGACCTCGACTGGGTGGTCGAGATCGAGCGCCCGGCAGCACGAAGACTGGCCAGCCCCGACAGTAATTGAGTCTCTTGTCGAGGCGTCGGATTTTTCAGAGTCGCGTGTCGCCTGCACTCTGTTCACAGTCTTAGGGACAAGCAGCCAGCCCAGTATATGATGTTGCTTCCCCCGTTCCTTGTAGTTATCTCTGAGCAGTCTGGGCGTTTCGCCTGAGACACCTCAATGACTTATGCTCCCAAAGCTCGGCCGTTTCAGCTACACGGGTGGAGCATGGTAAGTTTTCAAAATGAGGCTCTCGCCATATCGGCGCGCACACTCGTCATAACTATATCCAAACCCGGCAATGACGGAGGCGGTCTGGTTTTTCAAATATGGTCCCCCCCTCAGCACCACACACTCATTCGTCTTACTTGTTGCCAGGCTTTGCTCACGGCTGACGCTTCCACAGGCTTTCTAGTCATACACAAATCCTGATATCCTAGCAGCTGCGGGGACGGGAAGAGCACCTTTTCAACAACACGTGGCACTCACCGGTTCCTCCCTGCACCTGCCCGACGGAATTCCAAGCAGTTGCACACATTGAGGGCGGCCCATGTTTGCAAGTCTGGCCCTCGCCTGAGGCTAACAACGGTCTTCGTACCCGAAGTGTCTCAGAAAGTGTCAGGGCCAGAGGGGTGCAGGCGGATACCATACAACATTTCATTATTCCCTGATTCTTCCTTGAATCACATGTTCATGGGGCTTCACTTTCCCATCACCTGTGCGGATGCCGGCGGCTGGAACCTTGCCCTTGCCCTGGCGCCGCACACGTTCTTAGCAAAGCTCATACCAGCAACACGGATGGAGGGAAATGACTTCAGTTCCAGTTCCATAGGGGGTCCCGCGGTACCAGCGGCTGCTCGCCGCAAGTGGAAGAATTGCAGGGGAAGAGAAGAGGGAATGGCGGATGGTTCATAATGTATTTGGGGTCTTGAAAGGGGGTCTACGGGGGACAGGGGGATGAGAAATCGGAACCAGTAATATCGCAGAGGAACAGAAACACTGCACTTGCGCAAATACCTGCTGTCTCCCTTTCTCCGCCCACAGGACCTGGAGATGCGGAGGAAGAGGAGGATAAGGGGGATCACATGCAGACTGTGGATTAACAGCAGCAGGGACGATGAGGATGGAGGGTAACAACAAGGAGTAGCAAGAGCAGGGGGGACGAGGATAGGGCGAATGGGAAGGAGGAAGGAGAAAGGAAATCACAGGAGAGCGCAGTGGCTTGGCAATGAGCGGAGGAAAAGAAAGGCGACGGGTGGCAGGCGGGGCGGCCTAGATACCTGTCCAGGCCCTCAGGGTCCATGTCCGGGAGGTTGCTCCGGATGTCTAGCAGCGCCTTGCGCGACGCTCCGCCCGCGACTGCAACACCACTTCCAAGTGGACCGCCCTCGGCCGATCGTCGCTGCTCGCTGCGCCGCTTTGTTTCTCATGCTCGTTACATTCCCTGCTCGTTTCCTTGCGTTGAGGCGTGCGCTAAACAACAACTGTTGTTTTCGCGACGATGCCAGTACAAAACCCAAGTGCTACGTATGCTACAAGGGCTGATATCAGGCATGCAACAGTCCGCGAGCGCGCATGGCCATGAACAGCATGCGCCATCACTGGTGACCAGCCCTCACACCGATCCTCTGTAAACAGAGGTGGCCACGCCACGCACAGAAACAGCCTCAGATGGATCTTCAGGCAAACGTGCCCGAGCAGGGGCTACATGGCATGCTCGCGCGGATCCTACAAATCGCTCCAGCGCATCATCATACGCCACCTCCTCCTCCTCCTTCTCCTCCTCCTCCTCCTCCTCCTCCTCCTCGCCTTCGGCATCCTCTTCCTGCTGCTGCCGCCCTTCGGCCCACCCCGTCCCGCTCCCGCTCCCGCTCCTCCCCCCTCTTCCCCCCTCTCCCCCCTCGCCGCGCCGAGGAAGCAGAGGAGGCAAAGGCGGGGAGGCGGAAGCAGGAGGCAGAGGAGGAGAGGCCGGCCGATCGGTCCTGGTGGGCGTGTGCCGCGGAGGCCATTGATGGGAGGAGCCGGCACGGCGCACCGCGCTCTCCGGAGACCCAGCTGCCTCTGGCCTGCCTGGCAGGCCCTCCCCTTTCCGCCTCCTCGCTGCCCTGCCGGCATCCTCCCCTCCTCCTCCTCCCGCGCGGTCCCCCTCCCGCCGCCCCTCTCCGCCGCTCGCTGCGTTCGCGTTCTCGCTCCCTTCTTGTCGCTATTCCTCCTTGCTGTCCTCCTCCTCCTCCTCCTCCTCCTCCTCCTCCTCCTCCTCCTCCTTCTCTTCATCCATCATCGCTATGATTATTGTTCTTCTTCTCTGCCTCTTTCTCTTCTCGCTCCTCCTCCCTCCCGCATCTCATCCTCCCTCTCCTCATCCCCCCCCTGCTCCTCCTCCCTTTTCCGCCCCGTCCGCCCTGTCCCTTATCCTATCTTAGCTTCCCATGCGGATCCTCCTCCTCGTCCACCTCTTCCTCCTCCACGTCGCCTGCTGCTGATTATCTGTATCAAGCTCTCCATGTGGCTGTCCCCGCGCTCTCTCTCTCTCTCTCTCTCTCTCTCTTTCTGTAGTTGTATCATCTAGAGTATAGATGTCGATCTGTGTGCACGTGTGTGTGTGTGTGCATTTCTCTCTCTGCCCCTCTACCATATTCCCTCTCTCTCTATCCGTCACTCTCGTTCTCTCTCTCTCTCTCTCTCTCTCTCCCTCTTTCTCTGTTTTTGTTTCTCCCTCTCTCTCTTTCTCTTTCTCTCGCGTCCCCCTCTCGTGCTACACATCTAAAAATGCCCCGAGGCACAAAGTGGAAAGTGAGCGCTCGAGTCCTCTGCACTGACTGTTGCAATACTCTGTAAAAAGATCTTCCATGCGCTCCCGGGGCTTGCCGCGTTTCCCAGCGTGCTCCCGCTTCCCTTCCGGAGGGAATAACTCCCCAAGACGGTCCACGAGAGCCCCAATGGGCGCCCCAAACGGGCCCCGAGATGGACCATGAGCTCTTCAAGACGCGCAAGATGGCCTCAAGACGGCCCACGAGGTCCCCCAATGGCCCCACGAACGCATTGAGAAGCCTCCCAAGAGGGCCCCGAATAATCAACAAACAATGGGTTCAACATGTGCTTTACGTACGTTTGCTTCCTTCCCTTTTCCGGCGTTCGACGCTCCAGGCCAAATAGGCCCCCAAGACCGTCCTCATCGGCCCGAGAGGTCCCCAAGAGCGCGCAGAGACGAGCCAAGAGGGCCTGAAGACGGCCCCACGAGGGGAAACTCGAACTAGTATGTCGAGCCACCCCACCCCAAGCTGACCCCAACCCCGAGACCACCAGCAGGCCCCCAAGAGGCTCCCAAGAAAACCCAGGAGGCCCCAAAGAGTTCCAAGATAGTCCCCAACGGGCCCCCAAGAGGCGCCCTGGCCAAACCCCAACTCCTCACCCTCCTCCTCACCCTCCTCCTCCTCCTCCTCCTCCTCCTCCTCCTCCTCCTCCTCCTCCTCCTCCTCCTCCTCTTGCCGCCCTCTTTTGTCCACACTCCTTCTCCTCCGCACCTTTTCTCCTCCTCCCTTGCCCGCCCTCCACAATTACAAGATATGAAAACTACTCTCCTCTCTCCCCTGGCGACGTCCGGGAAATATATGGCCCCCCTCCGCGTATTGGTTTTTTAAACACAGGATTCCCGGGATACGGGTTTTCGCTTGGGCTTTGTTTCAAAATGCTGCTCTCGCTGAAGCGCTGGCCTCATTTTCGGGCTACTGCTCGTTCCGAATCGTGCTCCCGCTGCAGCGCTGGCCTGATTTCCGCGCTTCCGCTCGTTCCGAATCGTGCTCCCGCTGCAGCGCTGGCCTGATTTCCGCGCTTCCGCTCGTTCCGAATCGTGCTCCCGCTGCAGCGCTGGCGTCATAATTTCCAGTGCCATGTCACGGCACGGTGTTCGGTTCTTCCAAATAGGCCCCACAATCTAAAAAATGCCACCCCGAGAAGCCCATCGGAAGTGATTACACATTCGGTGTCGAGTCGTTGATCCACTGGGGCGTCGCCACGCCATGCTATGTCATGCTACGCGTTGATCTTCAACAACACGCTATGCAATGCAATGCTATGCCATACTACAACATCCGACTGTGCAAGTAGGGAGGATATTTTCGCCATGGTAAGGGATTGAAGGGAGGGGTAGGACGTCAGATATGACGCGAGCGCACCTGGCTTGGCCACCCCCTCCTCCGACGCCTGCGTTCACATTCATCACCCCCTCCCCCTCTTCTCCGTTCCTTCTCATCCCCTCCCTCCTGTTCTTTCGCGGACTAAGCAGCTCCCTGGAGCTCCGCAGGGCAACTCCCCGGAGCTCCCCAGGGGTGCTTTCTGACCTGAATTCCGAGGCGAATCCAGCTGTCACGACGAAAGCTCTCCAAGACGGCGAGAAGAAGCGAGAACGGGAGAGGGGGAGGCACTACCGACACCGATTCGTTCTCGGATTCCATCGCGGGCGAGGGCCGTCGTCGTTGTCGTCGTCGTCGTCGTCGCTCGTCGCTCGTTGTCGTCGTTGCTCGCCGTTGTCCCCAGATCTCCGACGTCGTGATTTGTGTTGCATCGTTCGGGGGTTGCCAGAAGTGCCCCTGGCCCAAGGTGCCCCCAGCTTTTCGCTCAATTGTAAAGCCTCTGGGGCCCCCGGGGCCTCGTGAGGGGTGCCCTGGAGGCCGTGGGGGCCTTCTTGGAAATCCTGGGGACACCTAGGGCCAGGGGCACTTCTAGCAACACCCGTAGAGGTCTGGACCCCTTTGCCCGAGTCGCTCTGGGACGGTCCCAGAATCGGGACCAGGGGCCGAAAGCTGCAACAAAGCCTTCCCCGCCGTGGCTCCCTGCACAAGGACATCAGTTCTGGGCCGACCCGTCGGAGCCACGAGCGTCAGCGTCAGGAGGAGCAGGAGGAGGAGGAGGAGGAGGAGCAGGAGGAGGAGGAGGAGGAGGAGGAGGAGGAGGAGGAGGAGGACACGGAGGAGGAGGAGGAGGACGAGGAGGAGGAAAAGGAGGAGGATGGGGGATGAGGAAGAGGAGGAGGAGGGAGGAGGGAGGACGAGGAGGAAAAGGAGGAGGAGGAGGAGGAGGAGGGGGGATGAGGAAGAGCTCGTCGCTCGCCGTCGTCGGCTGCCCTTCCGGCGCGCCTGTGCTTCCAGGCCCCCCCCCCCCGCCCGCGGCGCCGGGTGGAGCAGCGCGCAGCGCGGCTCCCCAGCGACCCGGGACGGCGTCAGCAGCCCGAGCAGGGCCTCGAGCGCAGGGGAGGGAGAGGGCCTCAGAGAGTAGCCTCCCGTCCATCCACCCGCCCTCGTTCCCTCCCTCCCTCCTCCCTCCTCCTCCCTGGAGGAGGAGGATAGGGCAGGCAGCAGGAGATAAAGGATGGAGGGAGAAGTAGGAGAGACAGAAGGAGGGCCAGTGTATGAGGATTGGTGGGTGAATGAGCGAGGCTAGTGAAGCCTAGGAAGGCGAAGAAAACATGATGATAGGAATCGGGATGCTGCCGAAGTGGCTGTGCTGAATACGGACGTACACGCCCAAACCCACGGGATGGGCAGCAATCTGGACCAGGTGGGCGGAGGCGGACACCGTTGACAGGATATATGGGAAGCCCAGCAAACTCCTCCTCCAATGCTACTCCTCCTCCTCCTCCTCCTCCTCCTCCTCCACCTCCTGCTGCTTCTCCTTCTTCTCGTCTACCGCCTCCTCCCCTCCTCCGCCTCCTCACCTCCTCCTCCTCACCCTAACCCTCGCTCTCCTTCTCGCCTCTGACCCTTCACCTTCTCTTTCTCCACCCGTCCTCCCCCGGACAGATTACTCTATCCCCGCAACAGTGCTTCGTTACTTATCCTGATCATTCCGATGCTGGCACGTACTCGGCTCTTCCCGCGCTGGATCTCAACCAGCCTGCCAGTCCAACCCTAGCCGACATCACCCAGTCCCAACCCCGCTCAAACCCCTTCCCCTTACGCGTGCGCGCGATCATGATGCATACGCGTCCGGTAGACGTGGAGTCGCGCGCACCACACGCCGCGCCGATGTCCTTGAAGAAGTGCGGGTCCCGGTGGCGCACCACGCAGTACGCCCACAGCAGATCGCAGATCGCCGACGTCGGAAGCTGGTGCATCTTCTCCTTCCCTGCATCCTCTCCCCCCTTGTCTGAGGTCGGGCATGTCGTCCTACAGGGGAAGCCTGGAAAACAAATACTTGTCCTGGCGAAAACCCAACCATTTGCAGTTGTGAGTGCCGTCGTTGCTGGCATCGCCTTCGGAGGATCTTCTCACGCGGCCATGACGCATGCGAAGGGTGTGCCGATGTAGGGCGGACCGCCACGGGGCCGCGAAACGCGTGAGGAGTGCGCCACAGTGGTGGGGCGGGGCCGCCACTGGGGCCTCCGGTGAACTCCTTACGGGGCAGCGAAACCTTGTAATGGGTGGGGAAGCGCATGCGAGTACAGCCACCGGGCCTTCGGTGCAGCTTGCCATGAGGCCACGAAGCGCTGCGCTGGGTGGTGGTGACGCATGCGGGCGGTGCCACTGCGGCCTTCGGTGGAGCTCCCATGGGGCCACGAAACGCTGCACTGGGCGGGGGCGACGCATGCATGTGCGTCCACTGGGGCCTCCCGTTGAATGCCCTCTGGGGCCACGAAGCGCTGTACTCGGTGGGGGTGACGCTTGCGGGCGGTGCCACTGGCGCCACTGGGGCCACGGAACGCTGTACTGGGTGTGGTGTGACGCAAGCGGGCGGTACCACTGAGGACTTCGGTGGATCTCCCTATGGAGCCACGAAACGCTGTGCTGGGTGGGGGTGACGCATGCGGGCGGTGCCACTGAGGACTTCGGCGGATCTCCCTATGGAGCCATGAAGCGTTGTACTGGGTGGGGGTGACGCATGCGGGCGGTGCCACTGGGGCCCTCGGTGGAGTTCCCTATGGAGCCACGAAGCGCTGCTCTTGGTGGGGATGACGCATGCGGGCGGTGCCACTGGGGCCCTCGGTGGAGCTCCCTATGGGGCCGCGAAGCGCTGGACTGGGTGGGGGTGACGCATGCGGGTGGTGCCGCTGGGGCCTTGGGTGAGGCTCCCTGCCACGAAACGCTGTACTGGATGGGGGTGACGCATGCGGGCGGTGCCTCTGAGGACTTCGGAGCTCCCTGTGGGGCCACGAGACGCTGTACTGGATGGGGGATGACGTATGCGGGCGGTGCCACTGTGGCCTTCGGTGGAGCTCCCTCTGGGGCCACGAAGCGCTGTACTGGATGGGGGATGACGTATGCGGGCGGTGCCACTGTGGCCTTCGGTGGAGCTCCCTCTGGGACCACGAAGCGCTGTACTGGGTGTGGGTGACGCATGCGGGCGGTGCCACCGGGGACTTCGGCGGAGCTCCTTCGGGGGCCACGGACCGCTGTACTGGGTGGGGGATGACGCATGCGGGCGGTGCCGCTGGGGCGTCGCAAGACCCCCTTCTGGGGCCCACCCGAACGACGGCGCCAGAGGCCTGGGCCGTCGGACCGCGGCCCGCTGAGAGGCCCGCCGTCTGGCTCTCTGCTGGAGCCCCTCCCGGCCGACGCTGCCAGCGGCGTCTGGCCGTGGCCACCAAGGGGCCCCTCCGAGGCCCAGGAGGAGGAGGAGGAGGAGGAGGAGGAATAATTAGAGAGGAGGAGGAGGAGGAGGAGGGAGGAGGAGGAGGAGGAGGAGGACGAGGAGGAGGAGGAGGAGAAGAATAGGACGAGGAGGAGGGGGAGGAGGGAGGAGGAGGAGAGAGGAGGAGGAGGATGAGGAGAGGAGGAGGAGGAGGAGGAGGAGGAGGAGGGAGGAGGAGGAGGAGAGGAGGAGGAGAGGAGGGGGAGGGAGGAGGAGGAGGGGAGAGGAGAGGAGGAGAGGGGAGGACGAGAGGGGAGGGGGAGGGAAGAGGAGGAGAGGAGGCAGGCAAACGCCTCGTGAGCGTTTTCTGATTCGGCGTTTCGACATTGGACGGGAAGGGGGGGAGGGGGGGGGTCTGGCTCCGGACCTCTGCTTAGGTGCGACTGTTTGCAGCAGTGCGCTCCACGAGGAGAGACACGACACCACCTGTTCGAAGCAGGCGCCAAAAACAGCAAAGGTCTACTCCACAGGAGGGGAGGGAGGGGGGGTGCGAGGGCCCGCGCCCATCGCCAAAACAAGGAAAAACAAAAAACAATCACCGGTGTCCCTCCTGGCCAAGTGTTCGAGCTGCGTCCAGCCTCGGCCACGCGGAGGCCCCCCCGGCTCTGACACCAGACGGCGCGTCTGGTGGAGCCCGCGGCCCCGGAGGCCTCGGCCGTTCCCCTTGGGGCAGTGCGCCGTCCCGCGCAGAGGTTGGCTGGCCCCATGGCCCGAAACCAGCCCCCAAAGACCGAAGGGGGGAGAGGAACGCCCCGAACACCGAGCAGTGCCAAGAGGGGGGGGGGGTACCGAAAAACGGCAGCGGTCGCCAAGCCTGCCAGGACGGGCTGGCGACCCCGCCGGTGGTGACCCCCCCTTCCAGAGAGCCCACCAAGAAGTCGGATCGGCGATCGACGTGCACCAGATCGGCGGAGATCGGCACCCCATGTCTGGAGGAGGCGACTCGGCGGGAACCGGTAGGCTATACAGTCGGGGCGTTAAACTTAGGAACCTTAAATAAGGAACGAGGCCCCTTTTATCCATAAGCTGAACTTCGGCGTCCTGCCGAAAACCTAAAGAAAGCCTAGGGTCAAGCTGTGAAACAATCAAGGAACACCGAGCCCCTACCCAACGAAAAGGGTTCTTTCTTCAGCGCCCCGACTGTAGTCCGGCCTCCGATGAGACACCGAAGCACAGATCGGAATCCGACGTCGCACGGGATCGGAATCGGAGTCAATCAAGATCGACCCGAATCGAGACGGAGAGGTCAAGATTATCCTGGCACTGCCTGGACAGAGTTGACTCCCCAAACCTCGGAGATAGCTTTTGGTGCCCCTGGCCCAAGGTGCCCCCAGCTTTTCGCTCCATTTTGGAGCCCCATGGGGCCATCTGGGCCTCGTGAGGGGCGGTGCTCTGGAGGCCGTGACGGCCCCTTCGGAAATCCTGGGGGCACCTTGGACCAGGGGCACTTCTAGCAACACCCGAAAACCCCCTATGGGGGCGCGTGCTCTCCGGGCGAGGCATCTGCCGAGGGCGTGCGGGCTCTCCCCGAGAGGCCAAGGGTCGCCCGCAGCGCGCGGCACTCTGCGGCCACCGGCGCTGCGCTTGGGCGGCAGGGGACCGATGCACGGTGGCACGGCACGATTGCTTTTTTGCATTCCCTGCAGCGCGTCAAGGGGCCCAGGGGCACACACACACACATAAACATACACAAATCCCAATATTCCCCGTATTTTCACGCATTTTATGGGTTTGAAGTGTTCCCCCCCGACTCCCATAGCTTTTCCTATAGTTTCTTGGGAGTCGCCGAGTACATTGTGCCTGTGCTGTTCCCCTCCCGAGAGCTGGCCACCAGCTGTGGCAGGGCAGCGCAGCCGCAGCCCGAGGAGAGCGGCGGGCTGCGCACGCGGCCCCCTCTCGGGGGCAGCCGGTGCGCAGCGCCCCCCGGAGGCGGGGCTCGTCGCCGCCGGCCACGGCGGCGATGACGCAGGCGCCGCTCCGCAGCCGCGGTGGTACAGGGCAGCGGCCAATACATGGGATTTGTTCTTACAGTTATGGGATTTTTTTAAAACAGGATTAAGTTATGAATAAAACAATGCACAAACTCAGCCTTGCATTCAATGATCCACCCTTTATTTTTAGTACATGGTCCGCACGCGGAGCATGTGTTAAAAACGGCCACCGTCGCGCAGGAGCGCTGCCTCGGCCCAGCCGCCCGGGCGCAGGAGCACGGGGGGAGGCCAGGAGCAACGGGGCCGAGAGGCCGCCCCGGGCGAGCCGCGCTGTGGCGGCGAGTCGGCTTGTGTGACCGTGGCGGTGTCCGTGGCGGTGCCCGGTGCTCGTGGCAGTGTCTGTGGTAGTCGTATGGATGTCGGTGATGCCAGTGCTTGTTTTTGTTTTGAGCGGCATCAGCGACCACGTCAGATTGTGAACTGTGCGGCGCCTACATGCTCTGGCGCCTGCTGACTTGGCTCGCGTCCAGATGCCGTCTGACGACCACCCAGCCCCCTGGGTCTTGAAACGTTCTCGGGGACGGGAATAGCGAGCGGCACTGGAGCAGCACAAGGAAAACAGCGAGGACGACGACGACGCCGCCGACGCCAACGAACGCGAAGACAATGAAAATGCACACGAGGAGCGCTTGCAGCCGTGACTGTGGTAGTGCTGGTGATTGACATGGTGGTGGTATAGGGGGTGGTGGACGAGGCCAAACTTGTTTTTGGGACTCGCCGAAGAGAACTTGCTGTGCGACTCTCAGTGGTAGTGGTGCACACTGTTGGGCCCGGGAAGGTGCAGCGTATTGGACAGTCGCCCGTGTTTGGTATCAGCAAAGGTCTCGTCGCAGAAGTGGCACAGGACGCCGTTGTATGGCCCACCGGCTGAAGAAACAATGAACGGCGCACTGTGTACTGTCCAGTTCTTCACCTGCATGCCTTGGAACCCGACCACTTCATTCTCGACGGTCAAGGTCCCTTCCAAAGCTTTTGTAATGAAGCACTTGATATCGTTTTCCCCTCTCTCACAACATAGCACCTGGCCGCCAGACCTGGCCGCGCCGCGGTCGCATAATGACATGGTTGTAACTGAATTCCGCTCAGTCGCCCTACTAGTATACGAAGGCATTGAGATACTCGTGAGCTCAAACCCGAAGAACCGAAGTTCGGGTTGGGAGGGTGTTCGGGTTCCACATGCTTTCTTGTTTCAACGCTCCCCGACCCCCCTCCACACTGGAAATGTAGGGCAAGTTGAGGCCTTCGGGTTGTGTTGGGGTGGTTTGGTGGGTGGGTGGTGGGACCCCCAGATCTGTTCAACGCGTTGAAAGCTTCCCAGAGGGCGGGATGTCTTCGCGTCCAGGCGCAAGGTCTCAGAACTCTTGGCTGCAGCACAGGTCAGGCAGTGTGCGCGTTTCCTCCCAGGCGCCCCGGACGCACTTCTGCTCATGCTCGGAAGGCACTCGGCGGCCAAGCCTTGTCAAGATCTGCGTCGTGCTTGTGTGTTCCGCCCACGCGTGCCTACACCGTGCCTGGTCCGACCAGAGTCTCACTCACGCGCCCTTCCCAGACCATCGTGAGGCCCGGCCCTGCTCCCCGACCTGCTCGCTCCCCTCCGCCACCTGCGCCCCCGCGTCCCCTGCCTGAGAGGGGGAAGGGGGACGGGAGGAAGGGGGGGGCGGGGGCGAGAGCGAATACCGCTGCGGAGCTACAGTCGGACTTGAGTGGACAGGACACGCGAGAGGACACGAGACCCTTCCGAGGGCCGCGTTGCCACAGGAATGCACAAGGCCTGGGTCCCTAAAGGCAGGACGCAAAGGGTACTCTTGACTTGGCAGGGCCGAGCTACTAATCAAGGCCGACTGCATGCCCCAGGCTTGCCCTCCGCCCTTCCAGGATGTCGAACTGCGTCTCCCTGAAGAGCGAGTCGCTCAGGCGGACGGTGGCGAAGCTCCAGCAGATGCGCGCCGCCTCGGGACCACTCGTTCTGCGACCGTCGCAGCAGCCGCTGCCGCTGCTTCCCCCTCTGCTGCTGCCGCTCCCTGTGTCTCGTTCGCGCTTCTGCTCCTGCTCCTGCTCCTCCTCCCCCCATGGGCATCCTCGTGCTCCTCCTCCTCCGTCACGTCCGACTCTCGGAATTACCGGGCGATCGGAATTTCTGATGACGAATTGGGCCCGACGTTGACCCCTGCTCCCGTCTCTGGTTGCACCACTCGGCCGCACGCGTCTCCTCGTCCTCCTCCTCCTCCTCCTCTTCTCCCTCCTCCTCCGCGCCGCCTCCTCCTCGTCCTCCTCCTCCTCGTCCTCGTCCTCCTCCTCCTCCTCCTCGTCCTCCTCCTCCTGCCCCTCTTCTTCCTCCTCCGTCCCTTTTCCAAACGAACCGCCGCAAGACGTGTCTGCAGGGCGGACCGGGCGTTTCGCCTGAGACATCCTGACCACTCATCATCCTGAAGCTCGGGAGCTGCGGCAGCTTCAAGGATGGTGGGCGGGTGGCCTGCAAAATAAAAGGCCCTCGCCGTAGCGCCGCGCACGCTCGTCCTAAAAGTGCGCAACAGTTTTCAAGGTTGGAAGGCGGCTGCTTTTCAACATGTGGCTCGTAACAGTTTGAAGCAATCTCGAAGATTGAGAACGGTTCCTTTTCACACTGTGACTCTCGCGGTAACGCCGCGCACATTCGTCTTAAGAGTGTACAACAGTTGATCATTTAAATTCCAGGAATGGTATTTTGGCACGAATTAAGCTTGTTAGGACGCAACTGTCACGTTCATTCGCGGTGTTGAATTCCCAGGACCAACGCCCTTGCACGATTTAAGCTTGTCAGAACGCAACCGTCATTCTGGATCGCGGGATTGCAGCCACAGGATGGGTGTTTTGGTCGGATTGAAGATTCTCAGCTGGTGTTGTCTTTTCCACCGGGGCACTTCCCGTGGTGAAAACACATGTTTGTAGGGACCTATGAAAAGGGAACTTGGAGGGAGGGTTCATTGCAGCATCATTGATGAGTCTTGGGTTTGCATTAGTCCTCCTCCTCCCTGTCCCCCCCATCCTCCCTCTGCTCCCTGCCCCTGGCCCAATTCGCCTTCAGACCTGGGGGGACGCGACCGTGCCTTCTTGCCCCAGGCTGTGGGGGGGAGAGGTCTCGCAATCCTAAACTTATCTTCGCACTGCTGTAATTCAGCCCCACACTTGTAGCAACACCAGCCTTCAGGAGTAAGTTCCTCCATCGAGCCCCACACCAGCGACGACACTCGAGCTCACGAGTATGATTCTCGATCTCTCCTCCTCCTCCTCCTCCTCCTCCATATCGATATTATCCCCCTTCCCGTGCAACTTCTGTCTTCCACCACCGCCACCTACCGTATCTACCCCACCGCTGGCATGCCTGCCTATACCTCCGCAGACCAGCACGCCTACACCTGCTCATGCCTTGCAGGTGGGGTCCCCTCCAAACGCTAGACTGTTGCACATCAGACTTGGAAACTATGCGTAACGGCTCCATGCGGTGCTGGTTATCGCGGTGCAGGCTGTGTGGTGCAAACTGCGTGATGTGGTCTGTGTGGTGTTAGCTGTCCGGTGCACGCCAGGCAGTGCAAGCTACGCCGCGTGGCTCTGGAACGCTCTGGAGCGATGCATCCTGGTCACAGACCCTTTTGCCTCAGCACCCCCCTCTTCCACGGTGAGGAGGAGGAGGAGGAGGAGGAGGAGGAGGAGGAGGAGGAGGAGGAGGGGAACATTGTGGAGGGGGGGAGGAGGAGGAGGAGGAGGAGGAGGAGGAGGAGGACAAGGGCGAGAGATAATCAGGGGGAGGAGGACGAGGAGGAGGAGGAATCCCGGCAACACGGCTCCGCGGCGCCGGCCAGAGAGGGGGCGCAGAGAGAGAGAGAGAGAGAACGAGGGCCCCTCCTCCCTCCTCCTTCTCCTCCTCTTCTCCTCCCTCCTCCTCCTCCTCTCTCTCCTCCTCCTCCTCCCTCCTCCTCCTCCTCCTCCTCCTCCTCCTCCTCCTCCTCCTCCTCCTCCTCCTCCTCCTCCCTCCTCCTCCTCCTCCTCCCCCTCCTCCTCCCCCTCCCCGAGGTCCTGCTCCACGGTGAGCTGCCGGCACCTCTCGAGGCACGCCCTGCGCGGGGATGCGGGGCGTGGGCGGGCGCCGCTCGAGGCACGGGCCTGGACTCATCCGCATCGATGTGGCTTTCTGCGTCCTCGGCTTCGGTTCTCCCGGGGGCCGTGGCCGGGCCGGGGAGCCAGAACACGGCTCTAGATGCAGTATTTCGATCAAAAAATTTGGAGCAACCGTCGCCGTATAAAACCCGAAACATAGATTTTGCGAGTTTTGAAGCTGACATTCGAGAACGCTCTCTCCTCGTTATCTGGCACTGATTTGCTGTGTTAAGAGCTCTACGAGGATTCCGTTTCGGCGGCGCGCAGAGGGGGGCAGGGGGAGGGGGGGCAGGCTTCTCAGCAGGAGGCTGCTCCTCAGAAGGCGCCATCCCTGCACCTACAGTCGGGGCGTTGACCTAAGGAACCCTAAATAAGGAACAAGGCCCCTTTTTCTCATAAGTTAAACTTCGATTTCCCATCGAAAACATAAGAAAAACCTGAGGCAAGCTGCGAAACAATCAAAGAACATGGAGCCCCTCCCCAACGAAAAAAAATCCTTCTCCAGCGACCCGACTGTGCAGACAAGGCCGCGCCTCCCCAGAAGCGGGGCCGCTCCCAAGAAGCCCTCCCCCCTGCCCCCCTCTGCGCCTCGTGGCCGAACGCCGCTCCGGGGCGCGAGCCGCTGGCCACGGGGAAGGGGGGTCGGGACCTCTGGGGCCGCGCGCTGGAACCGCTCGACCGCCGGACGTCTGGGCACCCGGGGGGCAGGCAGCCGGCGCCGGGACCTCGCTGCAGGTGCCCTCGGCTCGGAGCTGCCCCTCGTCGTCGGGCGCGACCGCGGCGAGCTCGGCGGCCCCAGGGAGGGAGGGCCGCGGGCGCGTCCCGGCAGCCGGGGCCTGGCGAGGGCAGGGAGGCCGTGCTGCTGACACGCGTTGGGCCGCCCGTCGTCAGGGGAATATTCGGCAGGTTCGAGTCCTGGCGACCTGGCCAAAGCACCGACACCGCGTGGGTCGTTGGACCGTGAACGGTCTGGGCCCCTCTGAACTTCTGGGGGGGTCAGTTGTTTCGCTCCATGTTGGAGCCCCTTTGACTAGTTGCCAACCAGACCACCCCCACCCAACCCTTAGACCCGAATTTCGGGTTGGGGCTGGTGCGGGTTCCACATGCACTTTCTCAATGTTCCCCGACCCCTCCCCCACTGGAAAAGGAAGACAAATTGAAGTCTTCGGGTTGGGCTGGGGTGGTTTGGTGGGTGGTGACCCCTGGGCCCTCTGGGCCTCAAGGGGGTGATAAGGTGTGCTCTGGAGGCCACCTGAGCCTCCTGGACAGCTGGGCTGCCCTGTGCCAGGGCCACCTCTGGCAGCATCCGGGCTACCGACAGCGCACATCGCCGTTCGACAACGGCAGATTCCGAGCCACTGGCGGCGTTCAACCCTGAACGCCCGCACCGATGGGGTCAGCGCCGCGTCGACGCGGCGGAGATCAAGGCGGGAGCATCGAGGACCGAGGCTTTTGGCCCGTCCTGGGCCTCAAAAGCCTCAAGGGACTCGCGCGCAAGATCCTGACCTTCAGAGGTCCAAGTCGGAACGAAAACTGGTCATCGTCGCGCGTTGGATTGGGAATGGAGTTGTACTAGCAATCAGCCTGCAGGCATGGAGTACGGATTTTGAAGGGACGTGGCTCATCTGAGATGGATCTAAATGGCTACAGTATCTTGCAACTCATAATTCGAAACCGTTAGTGGCTCTTGCGTTGTGGCCCGGCCAGTCGAGGCACCGAAACCAGCCCTGGCTCGAACACCCTGGCCGCGCTGCTCAGTCGCAACTTTCCTCACGACGAGCACGAAGACACCGAACCCATCATGTAGACTGCTCCACACTCACGCTTACACAAGTAATTCACTACGTCCAACGACCAGCTAAGCTGAGCCGTAGCGAGACCCCGACAAATTTCTCCTTCAACACCCCTTCTTCCCCTTGGGGAGACGTTGGGGTGGTGTGTACTGCCGTCAAACGGGCGCTACGGCTTCCACAATGGTGGCATGCAATCTTCTTGAAGTTGTTCCTCAAGTTCGGGCGTTCCGTGTTCCTTGTCCTCCCGCTGGTGTCAAGGCCAGGGGGCGCTTCTCGAGTACACTTTGTCGCTGCGCGACGGCTGTAATCCCTGTAACCCCCTTGGGGGGTGGGGGTTCTGCCCAGACCCCCTCCCTCATCCCCTGGGGTGCCAGTCATTTATAAGCACGGAGAACGCCCAAGATCGCCCAAAACGGCTCTTGGAGGGCCCCATGTATATACATGGCATGTATGGAAAGGTATGTTTGTATATATATATATATACATACATACATACACACATATATATATATACATATATAACACATATATATGTGTGTATATATATATATATATGGGCGCTGGCCTATCCCCCCCCCTGCTGGAATCGATGGCTGTTTTTTCCAACTAAACTGACGACGTACCACGCGACCCATGAGCGACCACGACGTCGCGCGCGGGCTCCCGAGCAGACCTTCGATGACGACCTGCAAAAACAACAGAGGTAGTGTACGCTGCGAGCAGCAGATGAAACTGAGCAGACATGAAAAAAAGACCGCGCGACCCATGAGCGACCACGATGTCGCGAGCCCCTGAGCCAGGGCCCCGCGCAGGAGCCAGCCTGAGCAATGCGCCCTCACTCCCTCGCCTAGACCTACTGCTACTGCTACCACTATTACCGCTACTACGGCTACTGATGCTACTACTACTTCTACTACTAGTAGTACTATACTACTACTACCCCTACTACTACTGCTGCTGCTGCTGCTACTACTACTACTACTACTACTACTACTACTCCTACTACCACTGCTACTACTGCTGCTACCACTACTGCTACCGCTGCTTGTTCTACTCCTGCTACTAGGAGTGCTCGGTACTTCTGTTACGAGTAGTACGACCCCTAGTATGATTGTTACAACTAAGATCACGAGTAGGAGTAACACTACTACTTCTATTAATTCTCCTGGTATGTGTATCACTATTATATTATAGTTCCAGTGCTATTACTACGTATATTATTATCACTCGTGCAGCCACTGATAGTTGTACTACCACACCTGTTTAGTGAGAGTGCTCGTGCTAGTACCACTACCACCCCGGGGGTAGCAGTAGCAATAGTACTAGTAGTCGCCGTAACAGTAGTAGTCTTAGTAGTAGCAGTAGTAGCAGTAGTAGTAGTAGTAGTAGTAGTAGTAGTAGTAGTAGTAGTAGCAGTAGTAGTAGCAGTACCGTGCTCGTAGTAATAGTACCAATAGCAGTCGTAGTCGTGGTAGTACTAGAAGTAGGAGTCGCAGTAATAGTAGTAGTAGTAGTAGTAGTAGTAGTAGTAGTAGTAGTAGTAGTAGTTGTAGTAGTAGTAGTAGTAGTAGTAGTAGTAGTAGCCATGGTAGTGGCATTCGCACTAGTAGTAGTAGTGGTAGTAGTAGTAGTAGTAGTAGTAGTTGTAGTTGTCGTCGTAGTAGTAGTAGTAGTAGTACGAATAGTAGCCGTCGTACTCGTAGTCGCACTCGTAGTCGTAGCAGTAGTAGTAGTAGTAGTAGTAGTAGTAGCAGCCGCCGTAGTCGTAGTCGTAGTCGTAGCCGTAGCCGTAGTAATAGCCGCCGTCGTAGTAGTAGCTGTAATAGTAGCAGTAGCAGTAGTAGCAGTAGTAGTAGTAGTAGTAGTAGTAATAGTAGTAGTAGTAGTAGTAGAAGTAGTAGTAGTATCAGTAGTAGTAGAAGTAGTAGTAGCAGTAGTAATAGTAGTAGTAGTAGTAGTAGTAGTGGTCGTGGTAGTAGTAGTAGTAGTAGTAGTGGTCTACTACTACTGCCACTACTACTACTACTTTTGCTACTACTACTAGTTACTAGTACAGCTAGTACTACCACGACCACTATGATTACTACCACTACTACTTTAACTACTACGTTCACTACAATTATCACCACTACTACTACGACTACTACTATTACTACTACTACCACGACCACAACTACTACTACTACTACTACTACTACTGCTACTGCTACTACTACTTCTACTACTACTGATACTCCTACTAGTACTACTACTACTACTACTACTACTACTATCACTACTACTGCTATTACTAGTAATACGAATACTAATATTAATACAACTTCTACTGCGACTGCTAATACTATTGATATTTCCACTGCCAGTACGATTACGACTACTACTACTACTTCTACTACTACTTCTACCACTACTTCTATTACTGTTACCACTAGTACGACGACTGCTACTACTACTACTACTACTACTACTACTATTACTACTACTACTACCACTACTACTACTACTACTACTACTACTACTACTACTACTACTAGTACTGTTACTATCATAACTTCAAATACCAGTACTACTACTTCTCTTACCGTTCTATCTACTGCTACTACTACCACTACTAGTACGACTACGCCTACGTCTACGACGCTGCTTCTTCCACGGCTACTACCGCCACTACCACTACTACCATTACTATTCCGGCTATCACTGCTGCTACTACTATTACTACACCCACTGCTACTACTCCTACTACTACTACTACTACTACTACTACTACGACTACTACTACTACTACTACGACTACGACTAATACTACTACTACTACTACTACTACTACTACTTCTACTACTACTACTACTACTACTACTACGACTACTACTACTACTACTACTACGGCGGCTACTATCATTATCATTTCGGCTATTACATCTACTACGACGACTAGTAGTATTACTACTACGATTATTACCACTACTACTACTACTACTACTACGACGACTACTATTACTTTTACTATTACAACCACGACTACTACTATTGCGACAACAACAACAACTACTACTACGACTACGGCTGCTACTACTACTTCTGTACGATTACTACTGCTACTACGACGACGAGGACGACTACTACTACTACGACTCATACTAATAGTACGACTACTACTACTACTTCTACTACTACTACTTCTACTACTACTACGACTACTCCTACCACTACTACTACTACTACTACTACTACTACTACTGCTACTTCTGCTGCTACTACTACTACTACTACTACTACTACTACTAACACTACTACCACCACTACCACTACCACTACCACGACCAATACCACTACCACTACTACACTACTAGTAGTACTACTACGACTACTACTACTACTACTACTGCTACTGCTACTGCTACTGCTACTGCTACTACTACTACTACTACTACTACTACTACTACCACTACTACTACCACTACTTCTACCACTACCACTACTACTACTACTACGACTACTACTACCACCACTACTACTACTACTACTACTACTACTACTACTACTACTACTACTACTACTACTACTACTACTACTAGTACTACCACCATCACCACTACTACTACTACTACTACTACCACTACTACTACTACTACTACTACTACTACTACTACTACTACTGCAACCTGCAACCTGAGGCCTCAAGACAGCTCCCCGCGACAAGGTGGATGGGAGGCTCAGCAAGGCATTGTGCACCTATCTACTTACCCGTGGGATCTCTACCTCCTCATCCTCCTCTTCCTCCTCCTTTTCCTCCTCCCCCTCCCTTCTCCCCCGCAGGCCCCCCAGACGCATGGGGGGGAGACAGGAGGGACTGGATGAAAGCACAATGGAGGACGCCCTTCCTCCTCCCTCCGCCTCAGATCCCCCACGGGGCCAGGAACGGAAAGGGGGGACACAACGCAATGCAATCCAATGCGATTGCAATGCCAATGCAATGCGGTCGCAAAGCAATACGATGCGATCGCACTTCAACGCGCCTCCATGGCATCGCTGTGCCACGCGAGCCCCCTGGAGCGCTCCCCCCAAGAGTGCTCGGGGGCACTCCCCTGCGGCCTGGAACCGTGGAGGCCTGCTGCTGCTCCCTTGCGGCCAGCGCCGCTTGTGATGGCCGACTCGTGGCGGGGGGGGGCGAAAAAAAAAAACATGTTTTTTGTAATCTTTTGTTTTTTGCTTTTTTTTGCCCCCCCCCCTACCCCCCCCACCCACCACCCACCACCACACGAACTCCCACCATCATCACTGCCCTGGCGGAGCGGGCGCCCACGGGACGGCTGAGAGAGCGAGGTGAGGGAACGTGTGGAGGGGAATGGAGAGCACGAGTATGCTTGTATATACATATATGGGCCCTGGCCAAGGAGATGAGTGTCCAAGGACCTCCGAACAAACGAAACGACTCCCCCCTCCCCCCAATTCGTGCGTGAAGCGTTTGCGGTGGACCGAAATCCCTCCAAAACGAAACATCGATTCCAGCAGGGGGGGAATAGGCCAGGACCCATCTATATATATATATATATATACATATATATACGTATCTGTTCGCACGTGCATATAATATAAACATGTCCCAAGATGACCAGTTCGACGGCAACGTATAGACGAAGAGGGTTCACGACGGCTTCTGGCGTGAATCCAGGGAGCCCGAAGATCGCCACAACGGGCTCCAGGTGAGCCGCAAGCCTCCCAATGACCCCCCCCCAACCCAAAAAGCCCCAACCGTTCGCAAACAATTCTGCCCTTTCGCTTCTTTCGCTTCGGATGGGCTTCTGCGTTTCCTCTGGGGCCTCGCCTCAAGAACTGGCCAATAGCGCCCCCATACAGTCGGGACGTTGACCTAAGGAACCCTACATAAGGAACGAGGCCCCTGTTTCCCATCAGTTGAAGTTCGATTTCCCATCGATGACATAAGGAAAACTTGAGGCTAGCTGTGAAACAATTAAGGAGCACGGAGCCCCTCCCCAACCAAAAGGGTTCACCAGACGGCCCCACGAGCGCCCCAGAGCGTCCCAAGATGGCTGCACAACGCTTTTTCGTTGCCTGGCCATCGCTCGGACGTCCATTCCCTGTGTTTTTGGTCGGTTTCGTGCGCGGTTTTTCCGCCACATGATCAAGGATGCTCCTCGATGGTCCTCGCCGGAGGAAAAAAAGGCACACGTCCGAGCGATGCCAAGTTGCTTCAGGATCCGACCAGGGGACCCCAACTTACCCGCCCTCCCTTTCTGATCGACGGCCTCCAGGACGGCTCCGTGGGAGGCCTCAGGGCCCCCAGCGAGGCCCCATGGTGGGAATCAGGATGGCGAAACAACATGCCCCCCCCCACCAAGAAGCTCGCAGAGGTCTTTAAGTACACCATTGTTAGCACATTTGCGCCGCTGTCTGCCTATCTACGCTCCTCCTCATGAAAACTCCCTTGGGCGTCGCTTCCGGATGGGTTGGTAGGGATACGCGAGCCGTCAAGAACTGACATGGGCGCGCCCAATCACGTAAGCATCTTGAATACATGATATCAGAGAACAGCCCCAATCATAATATGTTTAGGTCTATAAGGCTATTGGGCTAAAGGGCTCCAGGGCGACTGTGCCATAAAGCTATGGGGCTATAGGGCGTTAGGGCTATAGAGCTATACGGCTATAGGGCAGTAGGGCTATAAGGCTATAGGGCTATAGACATATATATATATATATATATATATATTATCATACGCACCTCTCCGAGGGAGTAGAGCTCAGAGGCGATTAATGCGCACGTCGTCCGCGATTTTTCTGGCCGTTTCGCTCGGGACATCCTCGAAATTCTGAACATCGGTGGCACCCCTCACGCAGATCGTGACGTCAGGGTCCAAAAACACATGGGAATTTCAACCGTTTAATATAAAACATTCAAAAACACATGGTAATTTCAATAATTTTGACCCCGATTCTCAGAGAATGGCGGTTTCGCCTGAGACATCCTCCCAAAATCGAGCCCCAGACCCCTCCTCGGAGCCTCCTGGGGGCCTCCTGAAACCTCCTGGGGCCTCCTGGGGCTTTCTGGACCTTCTGGTACCCCAGACCCCGCCTCGGAGCCTCCTGGAGTTCTCCTGGGCCTGCTGAGGCCGCCTGGGGCCTCCTGGGGCCTCCTGGGGCTTCAGAACTACATGCACACACAGAGACACAAATCACGCCCAACACATCACACGCTAGACAAACATAACATACACACACAACACCGACAACACACAAAAAGCACGCACCACACAAAGCACACATCACACACACACAACACTCACAATCCTGGGGCCTCCTGGAGCCTCTTCTGGTATCCAAGTCGGGCCTCCTGAGGCTTACTGGGGGGCCCTGGTACACACATCGCAAGGTGTGGCAACCCCACTTGCGCTCGAGTGCGACATCGCTGTTGCATGTCACTCCTGCTTCACACGCCCCTTCAGCTTGTTGTATGAGCCTGGGCACACACGTGCCACTTATATATAAATATATATAGATAGAGAGAGAGAGAGCTATAGGGCTATTAGGCTAAAGGGCGGTGGGGTTATAAGCATATAGAACTATAGGGCTATAGGGCTATACGGCTATAGGGCTATGGGGCGATTGGGCTATGGGGCTATAAGACTTTAGGGCTATATGGCTATGAGACTGTAGGGCTATAGGGCTACAGGGCTATATGCAGATATAGTAGTGTTATAGGCATAGAGAGCTACAGGGCGATGTGGCTATAGGGCTATAGGTCTCTAGTGCTATAGGGCGATAGGCCTATAGGGCTATAGGGCTATAGGGGGATAGAGCTATAGGGCTATGAGGCTACAGGGCTATAGGGCTGAAGGGCTATATGGCGTTCGGGCTATAGGGCTATAGGGCTACGTATGGGGCCATAGGGCTATAGGGCTATAGGGCTCAAAAATAATAATACAAAAAACAATCGAAGGCTCGTCCCCAGACTATTTTGTTTGACTATTTTCGAATCTTCCCCCTGTAGAGGGACATTCCCGACTTACCCCTTGCTGGCCTCTTTGGCGCTACCTTCAAACCATCTTTGAGTCCATCGTGGGCGGTTCCTCACGCCGTCGGGAGGGCGGGCGGGGGCCGCGCCCAGGAAACCTGGAGTCGCCTGCATGGACAATTTTGTTCGGCCATCTTCGGCAACCCCAGTAAGAACCGGAATGGGCGGGCGGTGAACGCGAAGTGTCCTCAATAAGCTGTCAGAGGTCATACCTTGAGAGAGGCATGGGAGGTACACGCAGACTACTTGATGCAATGATGATCGACAGAATCGGTACGGCGATCACGACCATGCTGATGACAATAGCGATGGCGATGTTGACGATCTGAGCATGGTGTGTTGAGACAACGGCAACTCAAAATCGATCCCTGGACACTTCCCGGGTCCAAGCACACCAGTTGCCCGAAGTGCGTGCAGCCGCGGCGAGGGGGGGGACCCTGCGAAGGCCAACTGCCGTTGTCTCAACTCTCCCTCCTCTGTGACGGTGGTCGTGACGGCGATGGATCTGCCACCCCCGCCCTCCACCCTCGGCCAGCGGCGGACCAGCGCAGTCAGCCGGCGCGCGGTCACGACGTGTCGTCCTTCACCCGCGCGGCCCGCCTCTCCGACGTCGGCAAGAGCCACCGCCACGACGGCCCCCTGCCCATCACCTCGAAGGGGCCCAAGGACACACAAACAAATACACACAAGTAAACTAATCCCCCAGATTTCCCCATATTTGCTGGGTTTCTGTCTTCCCGCCCACTTCCCATATTTCCCCATATTTTCTGGGAGATCGAGGATTCATTGTGTCTGTGTGTGTTTTATTTTTCCTCCTGGCACCTCCTGGGCGGCCTCCCTCCAGGGCCTGCGCCTGCCCGGCGCGCCCTGCAGCCCCTCGATGCCCGTCTGGTCGGCGAGCACGTTGGAGAGCTGGTCGCAGAGCATGACGCTTGCCAGCCTGGAACATATCCCTGTCCCTATGCTGGGCACCTCCTCCTCACGATGTCAATCTTAGGGATTCCCTTCCTTTTCGAGGGCGAATCCCAAAGATCGTCATCGCCTCGTGGCGTGCCAATCTTAGGGATAGGGATACGTTCGAGGCTGGTAAGATGCACGTGAAGAGCCCGAAGATGGCCGCCACGAAGAAGACGAGCACGCACTGCAGCACCTCCGCGTCGGAGCCCGCCCGCAGCACGGCCCTCCGCCGCGCCTCCTCCCGGAGCTGGTCCCTGCCCGCCTGTGCAGGACCGGCCAGCGTCGGACGCCCGGGGACGCCGGATCGAACCCGAAGGCGCGTCGGCTCGAGCTGCATCGGCACGGGGCCGAAATCGTCGGGAGCGGCCAAGAGGGGGGGGCCCAAAAGGGGGGGGTGCAACTCATGACCGGCGGCACGTGCGCGGCCCCGCGGGGGGGCCAGGGACGTAATGGAATAAGAAGAGGCGCCATGAGATCTGGGGAAATGTCATGGCCCACGCCATGATATCCACCCCCCCCTGGTCATCACCCCCCTCTTTGCCGCCCCCGAAATCGCATGCGATCGGCCAGGCCCGTAAGCACAACGGCGCCGGGCAGGAACCAGACCGCATCGGATCGTCGGAACTTCGAAGAATCGACCCGCATCGGGCCGGCCAAGATCGCTATCGAGTCGTACCGACCGGATCGAGATGGCCGCCGCATGAAAACCATAAACAGCTGTATCAGCATAGACATCCGGCGGTCCGCGCGCATCTCTTGGATTGGCGCTGGACCCCCCTCTCTGGCGAGCGGGGCACGCCAGGGGCAGCGCCAGAGGCGTCGCCAGGGGCTTCTAGCGCCAATATCGGCGGTGGACAAACCTCCCTTTAGTAAACCTCCAGTACGACGGCCGCGCGGCCCCCTCGCGAACCGAAAACGGCCAATTCCTGAATCGACGTGTCAGGGTAGGAGGCCTGTCCACCCCCGACAATCCAAGACATGCGCGGACGGCCGCGAGGCCCTCTCGCGAACCGAAACGGCCAATTCCTTAGTCGACGTGTCAGGGTAGGAGGCCTGTCCACCCCCGACAATACAGGACCTGCGCGAGGACCTCCGAACGTCTACAGTCTGGAACTCTCCGCTTCGCGTGGCGCGGCGGCGGCCCCGGGGCAGCTCTGGGCGTGGACGCCCGAGGGCCGGGGCGTGTGGTCCGTGCGCCGCGCCCCGCGGCGCGGCGGGCCCGAAGCGGCGGCGCGGCACGCGGCGCAGACGTCCCCCGGCCGTGGCAAGCCCACACGTCCGAAGGTGTGTCTTTTCAGGAGGCCGCGTGCGAACCCTACCCCCACCCCCCACAAGTTCTGAAAGGGAGGGTGGGGTTCATTCCGCTCGGGAGCTCCCGAGCGAAGCGAACCCCACCCTCCCCCTCAGAAATCGTGGGGGGTGGGGGTTGGGTTCGCACGCGGCCCCCGACTTTTCCACCTGCAGACCCCTGAAAAGTCCTGGTCCCTTCTCTTGGGCCAGCGTTTCGCCCCGGGGATCCCTTTTTGTGAAGGCCCCGGGGCCGAATAGCAGACCTGCAGGAGGCCGACGGCGGGGAGCCACGCTCGGAAGTGAACAAAAAGGCACATCGCCAAAAGGGCCTGAGGCCGCCTGAGGCCGGCCCCACGACAGACCCAGGAAGGCGTTTATCCCCCAGATGGGGGAGCGTGCGAGAAAGAGGGAAACCCGCACACTCCTGGGCGCTGAGAAGAAGCCTAGCGCTGCTGACAACACAATCCGCTAAGATTGAGAAAGTATCTCGCCGGAAATCATTGTTCGTTCTTCATATTCTTCTAGAGAACAGCAAAAACACATGGCATAATTAAGCCCGGAGGTCCGCGCGGATTTCTTGGATATGCGCTGGACCACCCCTGGCGCGCGGAGCGCGCCGCCTGGGAGGGCCCGGCGCGGATCCAAGAAGACGGCGCGGACCGCCAACAGTTTATGACGTTTTTTTCTTCGACTGCAGCTACTTGTTTCTTCTTATTATTATTCCTCTTCTTATTATTCTTCTTCGACTGCAGTTACTTTCTTCGACTGCAGTTACTTTCTTCGACTGCAGTTACTTTCTTTATGATGTTTTTCTTCGGCTGCAGCTACTTTATTCTCCTTCTTCGGCCGCCTGCGTCCTGGCGAGGAACGCCCTGGCGGCGTGCTGCTGCGGCAGGGGCGCCGCGGCCGCCGAGGCCAGGAAGTGCGCCCCGAGGCTGCCCATCGCCAACCAGCACTGCAGCTGCACGTAGACCAGGAGGACTGGCTGCCGGCGAGAGCGACCCTACACAGCCATCGTGCCTCCTCCTTCTCCTCCTCCTCCTCCTCCCTCTCCTCTCTCCTCCTCCTCCCTCCCTCCTCCTCCTCCTCCTCCTCCTCCTCCTCCTCCTCCTCCTCCTCCTCCTCCTCCCCCCTCCTCCTTCTCCTCCTCCTTCCTCCTCCTCCTTCTCCTCCTCCTGCTGCTCCTCCTCCTCCTCCTCCTGCTCCTCCTCCTACTCTGGCCTGTATTGCCTGCACTGGTCAGGCTCTGACTCGTGCTGTGGGATATTTTCGGGCAGCCCCGTTCGTGTCCCAACCCAGTCTGTGATTGATTGTGCGCCCCTCTTCCCTGCCTAATTGTCTTGCCCGTCCCGTTACCCTGACTCGGCGCGTCCCTTCATGTGCTCGGTGCTGCTCCTCATCCTCATCGTCCTCTTCTTCTTCTTCTTCTTCCTCCTCCTCCTCCTCCTCCTCCTCCTCCTCCTCCTCCTCTTCCTCACTATCATTATCCCCTTTTCCTCCTCCTCCTCCTCCTCCTCCTCCTCCTCCTCCTCCCATTCCTCCTCCCATTCCTCCTCCTCCTCCTCCTCCTCCTCCTCCTCCTCCTCCACCTCAATCTCAATGAAAACGCCGAATCAGGAACGAAGGGAGGCTCTGGCGACGGCGAGCCTCGCCACGGACAGCTCGGCTCCCGAACCCTGCACCGGAAGAGCGGCCCAGAAGCCCGGGGCTACCCCGAGCCCAACGAGGTCGTTATACTTCAACGTCTCTTGGATGACTGCCTCAGGCCTCCCCTCGTCGTGTGACCAAGAACTCGACGGGAGGAGGAGGGCTAGAGGAGGAGGAGGAGGAGGAGGAGGAGGAGGAGGAGGAGGAGGAGGAGGAGGAGGAGGAGGAGGAGGAGGGAGGAGGAGGAGGAGGAGGAGGAGGCAGGAAGGAGGAGAGGAGGAGGAGGAGGAGGAGGAGGAGGAGGAGGAGGAGGAGGAGGAGGCCACGGGGCACCCTCACCGGGCTCCAGGACCATCCACAAAAACGACTGGGGATGCACAGCTGTTGGTACAGGTGAAGCATCCAAGGTTCCACGGAGGGAAAACATCAGGAAGGCTTCGGTCAGGGGGGGCCCACTCCCGAGACTCTGAATCCAAACAGGTGTGCATCTCTTGGAGGGACAGCTTTACTCGGGGATCTACTGACCTGGGTCAACCCAGACCCCGGTCAGTCAGACTCTGCATGATCCTGCAATCTCCTGCAGGCTCCTGCCTGCACCCCAGCCCGCGTCAACGCAACCCTGGCTCTGCAGGATCATGCAAGATCCGGTGCTCTGACCGAACTCCGTCTGCATTGACCCCCGTCTCTTGCACCCCGCTTCCCCTTCCGCCAACTTCCTCTGGCCTTCTTACGGCTTCCGCTGGCGGGCCCCCCCCCCGCCGCTTTACTTCCGCCAGCTTCCGCCGTCCTTCCGCAGCCTTCCGCCCAGACCCCTCGACAATGAAACTCTGAAAACCTTTCGGGCCGCCCCATTGCAGGGACGAGTGACCTGTATGGCGCTCAGCTCCCGGGGAGCCACATATCCAAGCGCGCCCCCCAGAGCTGGGGAACTCCCGTCCGAAGCTCCGGCGAAGAGGGGAGATCAAAAGGTACCGATACCGCTACTCCTCGGACCTCTCCCGGGGTGCGATCTAACCAGAATTACGATGCAAATCCAGCGGTGACGACGAGGGCCTCCCAGGAGGCCCAAGCAGGCGAAAGCGATGGAACGGTAGCGGTATGGGTACCTCTTCCTCCTCTGAGAAGGGTCACTCTGACGTGCAGCCGAGAAGAGCACGAAGTGCTTCTGGTTCCGAGCCCCCACGCTCAGGGGGACGTAAAGGTAGGGTAGGGGCAGAGGTGGGGTCAGAGGGAAATCGCCCCGAATAGCCCCTTGAAAAAGGATGTGAGCATCTGACTGGGATCATTCCCTGACCCCACCTTGGTATAACCCTGAGTATCGTTCAACCGACCCTTATCCCATGGGCGTGGCCTGGGCCTCACTGGCCGATTCACCCCCCTAGATGGGGACATAGGCTATTCCCTTCGGGCTTCGATAGGGATATCCCAAACTGGGGTGCTGAGATGATGTTTCTGGATACAACAGAGAAGCCTGAAACAGTGGATGTTGGAAAATCAATGAACGTGGAAGCGGCCGGGGCTGGAAAAACTGCAGGGGCTGGGGAACAAACCCGACACAATTGGGGCTTGGTCGCCGGGGCTTGACAAGCGAAAGGCAACTCACCAGGGCTGGAAAGAGTGACAGGGCTGGCCCTGGCCGCTTGTTCCAGCTTCCCTGTAAGGATGAGGATGGGACTCGCGGTCGGTTGACAGATGCGGAGCCCCCCTCTACGAACCCCCGACACGCAATTGTTCACCCAAGGGCAATGGTGGTCCATCTTCAGGATGCCCGGGCAGCGCCACCGGGGAACCGGAGGGGGGTCACCGCCCAAGCAGCGGGGGGGGGGAGGACCTCCCGAGGATACGCCGCACGCCTCCAGGAGCGCGCAAAACCGTGCGAGCGAGCCGCAAGCCTCCTTGATCCTCGATCCCCCTCCTCCCCGACCCTCGATCCCCAGAAGGATCGGCGGCGGGCGAGGGGGGGAAGTGAGAAGGAGAAAGGCTTCCTCAGAAGGCAGCGGGAATTCTTAGAAGCCCTCGCGCCTCCTAAGAAGTTTCCTGTGTCTTCGGGGAGGGCTCGGGCTTGGACGACTTCTCAGAAGGCCTGGGGACTTCCTGGCGTTCTGACAAGGCCTCCCTCCTTCTCAGTCGCTCCCTGGGCTCGCCGCCGAGAGGAGTCGGGAGCGGCCAAGAGGGGGGTGTCCAAGAGGGGCGGGGGGGGAAAATCATGACCGGCGGCACGTGCGCGGCCCAGCGGGGGCACCAGGGACGCAATGAAATAAGAAGGGGCGCCATGAAATCTGGGGAACTATCAAGGCCCCCGCCATGATATCCCCCCCCCCCCCCCTAGTCACCACCCCCCCCTCCCTGCCGCCCCCGAGAGGAGGCGCCTGACCCCTCTGGCGGCGTTCCGCCGCGGCGCTGCCCGAGAGATGCACCGGTTGCAGACGCTGCAGTGGTGCGCCCGGGGCGGCTTCGGGGCTTTGCACCTCTGGCACTGCCTGACGGAGGGGTCCTCCGCCTCCACCTGCGCGACGGTTTGGGCGCCCGAGATTCAAGGGGCCCTGGGACACGCAAATAAATACACACACAAGTAACAGGATCCCCTATATTTCCCCATATTTTCTGGGTTTGTGTCTTCCCCCACACTTCCCATGATTTCCCATATTTTTGGAAAATCGACGATTGATTGTGTCTGTGTGTTCTTTTCCCTCCTGAGATTTGGGCGCCCGAGATGGGTACGGAAGCAGTGGGTACGGCAGGTTCGTGTCGGGCCGACTCCGGCGTTGGCTCCTAACACCTCGGGAAGCGTTCGACCTCGAGCGATGGGCCATGTCCGAAACGTCGATCGTCCAACATCGAGCGATTCTGGGTCGCTGTCTGCGTTCCACGCTGAACGCCAGCGGCGGGGTCGCCGCCCGTCGACACGAAGCGAACCCACCGTGCGATGCCCACCAACAAGTATGTTGCCCACAGCCGACAGCGGCCGCTGTTGGGCAGGTGGCCTGCTGTCTCAAACTGACACCGCTCGCGGCGACACCGACAACGAGTCCTGCTCAACATGAACTGGAGGAGCTGTCGTCGGCTTTCGTACCCGATCGCACCGAGAAGAAGAGAACAAGGGTCTGACGCGCGAGCACACGGCGACCTTCCGCGATGGCTCACGCGGGCCGCTGGCGCGGCACTCCTCGCAGAGACGCGGGCGCTCACGCAGCGCCCCAAGCAGGCGGCTCACGCGCGAGTGTCGGCGTAGCCCCTTCCCGCGTCGCTCACCTCGCAGTTGATGGGCGTGGCCCCAGGGTCTGTGAGCATACACACCAGGTGCGATAGCAGGCCCAACACAAACACGATCTCGTAGGCGGTCAGGCACGCCACGGCCCCAGTCTCACCGCCCGGCCACGACCCCAGCCGGAACACGACGCTGTTCGACGAGCAAAGCAGGGCGTACGTGATGGCCATGCAGACCAGCCCGCAGGGGTCCCACACGAACCAGGCGCTGGCCGCCATGCGGAGCAGGGCGGCTGCGACAAGGCCGGCCCGCCCGGACGCGGCACTCCCGACCTACATCTTGGACCAAGATGGCTCCGCACGATGGGCGAGGATGACGACCCCTGCATCCGACGTCGTGGGCAACTAAACACGACGCCTTACCTACCAAACGATCCATCTCTCTTCATAAAGGATATTTCGATTCGGAACAGCGCCCCAGCCAACAAACTCCTGCTGATCGTTCTGGTTATGTGCCGTGCTCTCGTCTGGGAATGCCCCGCGCCACTGAACAAAATGATCGGAAAACTGGGCAGCGTCCTCCTGGGCCGTCATCCTCACCTCTCCTCCTCCATCCCTTCTCCTCTTTCTCTTCGCCTTCCCACTCCCCCTTCTCCGAGTCCCTCTCTTCCTGTGGCTCCTCCTGAAGCTCCTTCTGCGGCTCCTGCCCCATCCCTCTCCGACTCCTCCCTCCAACACTTGTAGTGGGGGGGTCCGAAACTTGGTTGTTCGGATCCTTGCAGCAACTTGCCGATCTTGTGTGGCGGGGGGCCCGAGTCGTGCCGCCACCCCTGCAGAGCACTCGCCCCTGAAGCTTCCGAACTGGCACCGCACCGAGTATGAACGGCATCCTTCCTCGGCGACAGGGCCAGTGCGCATGCCGATGCGCTGCGCCTGGAGAAAAAGCAGGTCCGTGCCGAGCTCCAGGACTCGCGCCCCGTGTGTGCGAGGCTGCACACGATGTCCAACAGGCTCGGATCCGCGGGCGGAGAAGCGTGCCGAGGCGTCGAGGGAGCTCGTCGCGGCGAGGAGGGAGCAGCTGGCAGCGCT